TAGTATTTCCAAAATACTCCGGATACAATCGTCCAACGGATTGAGATTTTGGTGATCAACCGAAGGTGCACATTTTCAGCTAACCTCTTTGGCAAGTAAACACGATCATTTTGCAACTCTTTAGCTCTTTTGAGTCTATTTTCTTTATGTTGCGGTGTAAGTTCTTGCACTTTTTGGAATTTCAATCGATTTACCCCGAGCTCATTTTTCAATATTTGCCGCATGGAATATTGCGATATGTTCAGCTCACGAGCCATTTTTCGGCCATTGCAACGCGGGGTTTGATCAAGTCGCTTTTTTACTTTTCGAACCACTTCTGCTGATGTTAGTGTTTTCTTCCGTCCACTTCCTTGACGTCGGTCTACGCTATCAGTATCACGGTAACGTACGATGGTACGAGACACAAAATATTTATTCACATTTAAATGCTGGAGTGCTCTAACCATAGCCACTTGTGGTTTTTCAGCCAAATATAAGGAAATCACACTATCACACTTGAATTCCATCACGAATAACTTTTTTTCTGGAAAATTTTCACCAAACTGTTTTTGGACGCATGTAAACAATATAATCACCTATCACTGAAATAATTTTAAAAGCTGTCGGACAAGTGGCTTAGAAATGACAGCAGTCTAAACTTGGTTGCAGTTTTTTCACCTCACCCTGTATAACCATGTGGCCGTAGGTATAAGTGAAACTCCAATTTGGACAATTTTTTGGCAAACGGTCACGGTTCCTCTTTTCTAAATATTAGAATCTTTAAAAATGAACATATCAAGACTGTGGAGATCAAAAAATATTGGAGATCTGTTCTATTTGCCTACATTTGGAATATTTGAAACAGTACTAATAACAACACTAGTCTCAAATTCCGCGAGCGTAAGATTGTCGTTCCTTAGTCCACATTCAACCTCATATTTTTTTCTTTCTGAGTGTTTGATGTTTTCTTTACCCGAAGCATGCCTTTTCCTGTTGCTCCTTGTGATGGGGGGAAATTTGAAAATTTTATAATTTTTTTTGTTATGTAATTTGTTTTATTTTAGCAAAATTTCTTTATTGCCTTTCTACATTACTGCAAACGCGTAAATAAACTGTTGACGTAGGTTTGAAAATATTTGCTTTTCAATTTAATTACTTTTTTCTGCGTGTCTGAGCATATGAGGTCTCCTCGAAGGTAAACCATTCCTTGTATGGGCAAAAAGAAATTAATTTTTTAAAACAATTTACTCTGTCCTCAGTTGTGTTTTTTTTTTTTTGGGTGCCACCTAGCCTCAGTTCCCTGTAAATGTTTGACATGACCAAATTTTTGTTTTACATGTGGGCATTTGTAAATAACACAAATGTTTGGATTAGAACATTAGGAGGGGGTCGAAAAAAGTTTCAAGGAAAATATCAATATTTTTTTACTTTATAGGGTGTTCAAAAAATAATATCCATGTGGTTAAACCACTAAATAGTATAAACATAGACCGAACCATCTTCGTTGAACAACTTTGTAATATTTTAAGTTTTTTATTTTTTTTTTTAAATTCGTGCCAAGAAAATTCTGTTTCAGTTTCACATTGCGACCCCTTCTAATATAAAATGTTCCCATTCTCTATTCCTGTGTTTTTTTTTTGTTACCCTACCAAAATGAAGAAAAAGGACATGCTAAGCACAAAACTAAAACAGAAAATGTAAACAAATGACTGGGCGGACGACGTTGGTAGACCAAGGCACTGAAGATGGCCGTGCGGACACGAAACAAAAAGTGCCAAATAAACAAAAAATTAAAATGATAAAATTAGCACGTACTCTACTTTGTCCGGACACATGGGAGCAAAAAAAGCTGAAAAAAAAACGCCCAAGTGGACAGAAAACAAATGTGTTTAAGTGTGGTTACTTTGTTGAGTAACCGTCACGTCTCGCCTCATTCCTCGAACGTAGGGAGCAGACATTTTGCTTCCACACTCAACAGTTGAAATGAATATCATTTTCAAAGTTGTGTGGAAAAAAGAGTTTGTGTAAGTTGGGATTTTTTTCTCAACTATATTTCGTGAAACAACAACAAAAAGTTTTGCCAACAACAAAAAAAGTTTATTCTGCTGATGAGTTTGTATATTTTTTCTTAAGTGTAATTAGAAGATGAATTAGGCAGTGATTAATGTGTTGTCGATCGTTTGTTATCCCACTTCTATTAAGAGAAGTAAATGTAAAGTGAAAATTAATTTTTAAGCCCTCAGACATATGGCTATAAAGGGTATATATAATTTGATACGGCCAAAACGTGCCTTTTAGACCCGTTTCGGGACATTTGGAGCCAATCGAGCGATGTCCGTCCGTCCGGCTGTCTGTCCGTCTGTCTGCTGGCTGATACGCACGATAACTCTACAAGGGAAAATTCGATTTGGCCCAAACTTGGTACACCGTAATATTATTATCAAATTAAGATCGAGTTCGGAGATGGACAATATCGACGCACTCTTTCTGTTAAACCCCCTTCCCACAAGTCAAAATGTTGAAAAAAAAATTACTGCACAGAAAGAGAAAGGATAATTCGATGTTGCTCCAACTTTGAAAATCCTAATATTTCAATCAGTGATAGGTTAGTATCTAAGTACTTAAGTACCTCCCCATCAAGGGTCGAAATTTTGAATAATTATAACACTTATAGAATGTGATGTAAGAGTTTAAGCCATGGCCTGGTATGAAGATATAATACATCGGTCCACTCTTTCTGGTACCTCCCCCACTAAGGGTCAAAATTTTTAATATCCATGAAAGAAATTAGTACGCATACCATTCAGACTTGGTACTCAATATTTTCATCAATACAAGATCTGTTATAAAGATTGTAGATACCTGACCATTCCTTTTGTTTTGGTTAAAGTTTTGAATAACTAAAACCATCATAAAATATGAAATAAACATCCAGTTCTCTTCACATTTTACACATCCAATTATTTGTAACGAAAACACAAAATCTGATGTAAATATGGGATATATCGGCCTACTCCTTCCCTACAAAGAGTTACAATTTTGAATATCTATGAAGCTCATGTAACGCGAAATTAACATTCGATTCCATTCAGACATTGTACATCTCAATATTTCCATCAACACAAGATCTGCTATAAAGATAATAGAGATCGGACCATTTCTTCTGGTACCTCCCCTACCTACTTAGGGTTCAAGATTTTGAAAAAAAAAAAATACGCTCAAAGAAATTTTAGAATAAATTTAGATTTGTTCGAATTTGTCACCTTTGGCACGAATTATGGACTTCAAACGGCCAATGAAACCGTCACATGCTGCCCGAATATTTCTCTGCGGTATTTTGGCCTATTCCCAGTGAAACGCTTGCTTGAGGTGATCGACACTTTGGTATTTTTTGGTGCCAACCTTGCTTTCCAAAATACTCTAGACACAACAGTCCAACGGATTGGTATCCGAAGGGTGGCCATTATGCGTTGGAAATTAAGCAAATTTGGCAGTTCACTACTTTCGGCCAAGCGAAGCAACTCTTTAGTCCTTTTAAGTCTATTTTCTTACTGTTGCGGTGTAAGTTCTTGCACTTTTTGGAATTTCAATGGCTTTACCCCGAGCTCATTTTTTAATATTTGCCGAATGGAATATTGCGATCTGTTCAGTTCACGAGCTATTTTTCGGCCACTGTGACGCGGGTTTCGATCAAATCGCTTCTTTACTTTTCGAACCATTTCTGCTGATGTTTGCGTTGCTCTTTTTTCCCGTCCACTTCCTTGACGTCGGGCTACACTACCAGTATGATGGTAACGAGCGATGGTACGAGACACAATAGAGTTATTCACATTTAAATGCTGGAGTACTCTAACGATAGCCACCTGTGATTTTCCAGTCAAATATAAAGAAATCACACCATCACGCTTGAATTCCATCACGAATACCTTTTTTTCTGGAAAATTCTCACCAAAATGCTTTTGTATACTTGTAAAGAATATAATGAGCTTTCACGGGAATAATTTTAACAGCTGTCGTACGAGTGGCTTAGAAATGACAGCAGTCTGAAGTTGGTTGCAGTTTTTTCATCTCACCCTGTAGATTTAAAAAATTACCCTACGCAAAGGGTGGAATTTTTTATAATTAGAAGTCATATGTGAAGTAAGAGTTGCATTGCCTTCAAAGTTCGTACACATCAATATTTTCATGTACACACGATGAAGGTGGAATATATCGTACCTGTCCGTCTGGTGCCTCCCCAACAAGGAGCAAATTTAGAATAATTATATCTCTTATAAAATACGAAATAAATAATCGATTCCCTTCAAGGTTCATAACTTTCAAGATGTATTGGGGAACTTTTCTTTTTTAAGACACGTGTGTTTAATATTTTTTTTCTTATAATGCAAAAGCATTTCTTCTCTAACCAATCTTCCCACTTGAACTTCCAACAATCGCCATATTCCAGCATGATTATTTCGCCTTTAACAGAAGCAGAAAGAGATGAGAAAAACGATAGTGTCTGATGTAAATTAAGCTTATGCAAATGTTATTTCCGAACAAACAAAGAAATTTGTCCGAAGATAAGGAATTAATTATTTTCCAAGCAACAAAAAATAGCTGCTTCACTTCAAATGCCAGTCAGAGCTGGGGACAAATGTTAAAACCCTTTTCCATTCACTTTAAGTTTAATATGAATAAAACAAACATCAAATTAATTAAAACATAAAAAACAACAACAACCAGAACTAGAACCAGAATTAAATGTGGAATTTTTTATCTATGATTTAATTTTTTCATGCTGAGCATAATTTTGCCATTTAATATTCATAGTTTATGTTGGGTGAGAGAGAGAGAGTATTCAAATGAAATTCCATGGAATAATCACAGTGCAGTTTTTGTTTTAATGTTAGAAGAGTGGAAGAGAGAGAGAGAGAGGGGTAGAATGAAATGCCTGTGTGTGTTTTTCCGTTTGATATTGCATTTAATATTCATATTTGACTAAAAGAAATATTAAGTTGTCTTCCATGAATTCCGCTCACCTGTATTAAGAGTTCACGGCAATAAATCTGAAATGGAAAATAAATTAAAAATTGAATTAATTAAAAAATCTGGTTACTTAGGCTAAGATAATGGGAATTTTAAAATAATCTCTAGTTGCTATTAGGGAAGAGTAATTTAGCCCAATTTCAATAAAATTGCTTTTATAGTGTAACGATTCTAGACATGTAGTGATTAGAGAAATAATTGGAATACCTTTTGCAGGCATTTGTAGATTGAAGATTTTCGACATGTTTTTGATCGGCTTTCCTAAAGATGACAGATTTTCTATATTGCATATAATTTATAGTAAAACAAGTTAAAAATATCAGTCGGTCTTGCAAGCAGATGTATAGCCTCAGCCAATGTCTTTTTATTAAAATAATTATTTTGACTTGCGTTAGGAATTTTCAAATTGTTGACCCCTTCCGCAGGAGTGAATCTAAGTTTGATACAAATATGACAACGTGCCTAATTTGGAATATATTGAATAGTACTTTTATTGTATATACCTTAACATTTTTGATTCGTTGCATCATATCAGTTTAGTACTCAAAATGTCAAATTTGTTCATTACTACTTGGATACAATTTCCAAACAAAACTTCAAAACAATGGTTCCACAACCAATTTTTCTGGTCAAAACTATTTCAACGTAATTTTATAGCAAAAATTGACCACGATCATATCTAAATATTAGAAACCAAGAATGACCTCAATATCAAATTTTAGGATTCGAGCTCAAGCCATTCACTCAACCCTAAATAGACACCCATATCAAATTTCAGGATTTTAGCTCTATTTTTTAGCCCATTACTAAATTAAATCCACTGAGTACTTTTCGTTCAATTATAATAGTATGTATTTCCAAAATCACCACCATATCTCAAACCCAAATACTAACTATGCGGGTTCCAGCCCTTATCCCTTAACCCAATACCAAATTTAGTACCATTTAATACTTTTCAAATAATAATAGTACGCATTCCCAAATCCACCCCCTTCTATCTATCCCAACACCCAGCGGCACATTTTACATTCGCATTTCCACAAACACCTCCTTCTTTCAACTATAGACACCAACAGTGGCATTAAGATCAAATTTCGGGATTTTATCTCTATTTCTTTACCCAATACCAAACTTAGTACTATTTGATATTTTTCGTACAATTATAGTACACATAAACAGAGAGACCTCAATATCAAATTTCTCGATTCCAGCTCCATACCTTGGCTCAATACACCATTTAGTATTTTTCGAACAATAATAGTACCAATTTCCAAAACCGCCTCCAAATCTCAATTCCAAATACCAACAGACACCCCAGTATTAAATTTGAGCCCTATGACTTTATCCAATACCAAATTAAGTACCATTTAGTACTTTTCGAACACTTATAGCACACATTTCCAAAACCACCTCCACATCGCAATTCCAGATACAAATAGAGACCTAAATATCAAATTTCGGGATTTCTACCCTGTCCCTTCACCCAATAACATATTTAGTACAATTTAGTACTTTCCGTACATTTCATAAATAATCATATCTCAACATCAGATAACAACAGAGGCCTCTGTATCAAATTTTGTACTTTTCGTGCAAATATAGAACGTATTTCCGAAGCACCGCCAAATCTCAAACACATTGTAAACAAATTTTAGTACGCATTACCGAAACCATATATCTCAATATCAAATTTTGAGGATTCCAGTTCTATGCGGCTGCGGAGGACAAAAATTACCATTCAGATGAACAATATATATGGGAGCTATAGCTTTATCTGAACCGATTTCGATCAAATTTGGCATACTTATTTTCAGGCCTAATTTGGTTGTATGTGCAAAATTCCACACTATTCGGGCTGATATTACACGTTTGGTGCACAATAAAAGGCAAATCGGACGAAGATATATATGGGAACTATATCTAAATTTTTACCGATTATCTCCAATTTCAATAGGGTTCGTCCTTGGGCCAAACAAACGATTTGTGCAAAATTTCATCTGGATAGGACAATAAATGTAAACTGTACTTTGTTTACAAAAATACATGGACAGACGGACAGACAGACGGACGGACGGACGGACATGCATAAATCGACTCAGAATGTGATTCTATGCAGATAATCAAAAGGAACTATGGGTCTATCTCGTTTCCTTTTGCCTGTTACAAACAAATGCACAAAGACATAATACCCTGACCACCTTGTGGTGTAGGGTATAAAAATATGCTTTTAGTACGAATTTCCAAACACCAGATCTATTTTTAGCATTTTATGAGCGTTTTACTTTTTTCCCCTTTGTGGGGAGGTACAAGAAGGAGTGGTCCCAAATATTTCATCTTCACACCAGAACTTGTGTTGGTAAAAAATTTTGGATAAAAAAAATAAGAGAATTGGTTGCTTATTTTGCATTTCATGAGCGTTTTGATTACCCAAATTTTTGACCCATTGTGGGGGAGGTACAAGAAAAAGTGGTCCGATATTGTCGATTCTTGCACCTGGTCTTGCACTGACACAAATATTACGATTTGCAAAGATGGAAAAAATGGATGATTCGTTCTCTTTTTGCAAGGTAATTGTTTTCTGTTGTTGTTCTAAAATAGATAGGCTTAATCCCGTTTATTTATTAACAGAGAAAGATGGTAATATTTAACAGGGGGCAAGGCAGAGAATACCTAGGTTTCGAAAGGCCCACCAATACTCATCAGTTCCCTAGCTTTTTGTCTGGGATATTCTCCCCAGGAGTTTTCTTAATGACTTCTATGACCGTAAGCTCCTTAAAATATGTGTGTGCGAGGTACCAGAAGAGGTGGGCCGTTATTGGTCATTTCTGTACTTGATCTAAGTTTGATAATATTAATATTACAATGTACTAAATCCCTTCTAGCGTTATCTTGAGCTCCATCCAGATAGAACGGCAGACGGACGGTTAACCCTGTATCGGCTCCAAATGGCCTGAAACGGATTTTGTCCAAAGAGACCCGTTGTGGCCTTAACAAATAATATGCACACCCTTCTACCAATGTCTGATGGTATATTGAAATACCATGTTGGTAGGAGGTTTGTGATAAAGAGGTGGTTTCGGAAATGTGTACCACAAAGTCACGAAGAGTAGTAAATAGTACTATATTTGGTACAATTTCGTATTAGGTGAACATATAGTGCATGAAATCAGAAATTTGGTATTAGGTTCGCTGTTCATGTTTAGCCTGAACACATGAAGATGGTTTCAGAAATGTCCACTACAAATGTGCGAAAAGTTCTAAATGGTACCTAAGTAGTAGTAGTTGGTTGGTATTGGCTTAAGGGATAGAGGTAAAATTTCAGAAATTTTATATTTAGATTACTGATGGCATCTGTGTTTGAGATGTGGCGGTGGTTTCAAAAATGTTTAAATTGGTTTAAATGGTACCATCTTTGGTTTTGTGTGAAGGGATACAGATAAAATTCTGAAATTTAATATCTAGATTACTGATGTGTATCGGTGTTTGAGATTTGGTCGTGGTTTGAAAATGCGTGCTATATTTTTTTACGAAAAGTACTAAATTTAAGGACCCCTCCATTCCTGTACTTCTTTTATTCACTTCATTTAGAAAATCTGTATAACAGATTAAGCGGCACGAACATGAGAACATTTTCTTACAAAAAAATTACAATTCAAGTTTATTTATATTAAGTGCGAAGAGACGTGATGAGATTTTTAAGGAAAAGTTTATTTCTAAAATACGACCACAATGAAAAGAAATCCATGGCACACCTACCTAGCAATCTACCAAGCCGTCACATCACTCGCCGGGATATGGCCATCAAGCATCGACATGTACTTGTAATCTTTCTCGCATCGAGATACCCGAAACCCTATGTAATTATAACTGCTATGTATGTAGGAGGTGGGAAAACCCGACTGAAATGGAAGAAATGGATAATGTGTGTAGGTGTCTGCCGTCGAGTAAAAATGGTAGTCCCACGCATCTATTCAACAACTTCCTTTTTGCTTGAGTTTATTTTTACACCCACACAGATTCAAAATAAAACACAAAGAGAGAGGTGTATATGTGTGTGTGTATCTTTATAAATATACATTTATACACTTACATACATTAAAAGTAGATTTTCCATAAATTTTTACAACTATTTGTGGGTTGTTTAATGGGCTTCGTGTTGCCCCTGTAAGTTCTGAGATAAGGTGTAGGCAGATCTGGGCTCGCAAAAATGAACACCTTAAGAGTAATGCTATGTCGCTGATCCCTGGAATCGCTTTAAAAATGAATTATTTGTAATTGAAATTTTCGAAATGTGTTGAGCTGCTCTACGTGGAAGTGGCGGTGAACATGTGAGCCATTGCAGTCAACCGCAAAAACCGCTTGCACCTGTTCGTATCAAGAAAAGCACTTAAGTTGCCATCGTTTGGTTTGATAAGAGTATCTTCGACGAAGATTTGCTATTCATACGTGCGCCTGTTTGAAATTGCTTCAAAGGACATATTATGGGATATGTTTAAAAGTCCATGGAATTGATTTATTTATTTTGGGGAAAATAAAATGAAGGAGGGTGTGCAAGTATGTTGTCCCATATGTGAATGACTGATTATAGAATCAGTGATAAAATAATGCGTTTGTACCTATCATTTGTATAACTCACTTCATTCAAGCATATGCAGGACAAATTCAATTCAATCATTTCTTATTGTGAACATTATCAAAACCATCTCCATACCTTGACACCAATAGTAAAATCTATATCGAACTTCATATTTACATATTTAGTACCATTTAGTACAATTCAAGAACGCAACAAACAATGAGCAGTATCAAAACAATGTCAGTATGTTAAATTCTGATATAAAGGCCTTAATATCAAATTTCGGGAATCCTGCTCTATACCTTCACTCAATACCCAATTTAGTATAAGGTATTCATATGTCAATGCTACACCTGTACAGCGTCCCTAATACAACCTACCAGCAACAGGTACCCGAAACTTCAAAATGACAGCTTCATCCGTTCCTCCTTAACCAAACTTTTC